ACCATACCCCCTGGGGGGTGATTTCTCACTTTCTGTCTCTCTGTCTCTGTCTGGCGAGCACATGCACCCTATGACAAAAACCTCTCAAAATAAATAAATAAATTAATTAATAATAATAAAAAAAAAACTTTGTGCAACAAGGACACTAACGACAGTGTCAAAAGGCAATAGAATTGGAGAAAATACTTACAAATCATATATTTGATTTGATATTGATTTAAAAAAGGGGGGGCAGCAGGGGGTGTGGTGGTTAAGGCACCGGACCCCACATAGCTGACACCATGGTTCAAGTCCTACATGTAGTGGCCTGAAAATCACAGCAGGCATGTGTAAATGCATGCCCCAAACCCCAAGAGGAGACTGGATTGTGGCATGGCCATTACCTCAGGGGATGATTTCTCACTTTCTCTTTCTTTTTCTCTCTTTCTCTGGGCAAGCACATGCACCCTATTGGGAAAAAAAATCTAGAAAAACAAAAAACAACTAAACATACAAAATATAGAGAACCCTTAAAATTCAACATCACAAGAAAAACAACTTTAATTAAAGAAAACTAGCAAGGGGCCAGGGCGGTGTGGTGCAGCAGTAGCGCAAATGCCCTGCAGTACTGGGAGCCATAAGTGACTACAAGTTCAGATTCCCAGGTTGGCCTGAAAACATTCTGGTTGCCCATGTAAACCTAATCGCAAAGAGCTGGAGAGCTAGGTGCTCAGAATTAATTTGTCATCATTGTTTTTAGTAAAACTTACAAGGGAAGTGATCCAGGAATCAAAAAGTGTAAATATTCTCTTAAAAGTACCAAAATGTATTAAAATTATTGGAAGACGTAATGTTTCAGAATATATATGATTTATGCTGAGCAAGTAGTCTCTTAAAACTAACACCAATTTAGGGGGCCAGCAGGTGGCATGGTGGTTAAGGTGCTGGATACTCCCACATGGCCGACCAGAGTTCGAGTCCTGAATCTGATGGCCTGCTTTCTCACTTCCTCTCTCTCTCACTCTCACCCTCTGTCTCTCTCTGATCAAACTAAAAAATAAATGAATGAATAAATAAAATAAATAATTATTTTAAAAATCTAACACCAATTTCTCCAGTGTGGGCAATACTAGCAAATGAAGGACTGAGTATTTCCTCTGCAAATTTCATAGGCAGACCATTTATTAACTTGTTTTTAAATTGGGTAAGATAATATCTTCTGAAAAAGAAAAATGTATAACCCTGAGTGACTTTGAGTTTCTAAAATAAAATGTACACTTTAAAAGATATGAATATTAGAAAATACTCGTGAATAGAAAATAAAAAATTGAAAGTGTACAATGAACATAGTGGGGAATGTGATATCAAGGAAATATTTCTGCATTTGAACATCCAAACCTTAAGGTGCTTTATAAAATCTAGTGTGACTCTGGGTCAGCAGGTGGTGTCGTGGTTAAGGTGCTGGACTCCCACACAGTCAACTGCAGTTCTAGCCCGGATCTGTCAGCATAAAACTCACTCCGGGTACATGTGCACACATTCCCACAATCCCTACAGGGTTATGGAGGAGAAGGAATTGAAGTGTAAGCATCCTCCCCATAGGGTAATTTCTCGTTTTCTGTCTCTCCAGAGAGCACACGCACCCTATAGCAAAAAAAGAGAAAAAAGAAAACTCTCAAAAAAAAAAAATCTAATGTGACTCCAACTCAAGTATTATATATGCAGCAATAAATTATAAAACACATTTCTAAACACTTTTTTAGTTTCCAGTATATACTTAACTTCGCCAGTATCCACCATCAGTGAAGAATGTAACATCTCAAAATTGAAAAGTATTAAAAACCATTAGACTTTAAAATGTAATGAGAAGGGAACTCAGTACAGAAAATAAGATGTTGGAGAAGCACGTACAAATGAGATTATGGAAAAATAAGCATTGAAACCGTCATGGAAACAAGACATGTAACTATGCTATAACAAATCCTTTTGCTAGGATGAAAAATTGGAAAATTTTTACTAAAAATGTCCTTTTCTTAAAGCAGCAGTGCTTGCTTTTTTATAATCAAAGCTGCCAAAGACTGGTGTGGCATAGCCTTGGCAGAAAACTCTTAATTAATAAAGGAGATTTGTATAGAAATAATGCAACACTGGGAAAGATGCAGGCAGTGTAAGAATCCTTCTACCATCAGATAATGACCAGAATGAAAGGCCTGGTCTAGGAGAGATGATGTATTAGAACCTACCTGCCTTTAGTCACAGAGAGAGAGATAAAGAACACTGATGAGAAGACAAACACGGTTCACTTCTTTGGTCACTAATTCATAAAGCATTTATTCAACACTTAAAACATGCCAAGAACTCTTAGGGTTACAGAGTGAGTGAGAAATATGTGTCTTTCTTCACGTAGTCATGGAGTAGCTCTGGAGACTGCTGGGAGCTCATAGTTGCTGTACTGTGAGTACAAGGATATCTGTAACTCCGATATTTGTGTTGATGATCTAACTGTATGACACAATAGAGATTAGCCAGCCGTGAACCAGTTTCACAGAGAAAGAGGCTAGAGTCAGATCTGAGATGATAAGCAGACGCTGGGTGAGGCCAGCTACACGTGATACACGCAACTGGTTGTAGTGAAGATCCAAATTAACCGTTTGGTGAAGCCATTTCCAAAGGCACAACAATGCTGAAGGCCGAATCTGTAAGTAGCACAAACTCAGACCCAAAATTATTTAAACAATAACGGAATTTAAGAACTCACAAAATGCCAGTTCTAGAAATAAAATGGCCCTCGCGTCCTTTCACCTTTCTATTCTGCTGTCCTTAGTTTGGGCTCCAGATTTGAGTAGGCAACACAACAAAGGCAGCAGCTGTAAGTATCCCAGAAGCAAAATGTGCAGAAGAAACATCCTGTGGCTTTCTACTAGAAGAATTTTAGAGAAGCCAGAAATGTGAGTTTCCCTTTTGTTTAGTGGGCCTACCGGGTTCTAAAATGGAGCACAGGATTGGCTTTTGAATCAAAGAGTGGTGAAGATATCGGAACAAGGATGGTTACACAGATGGGAGACCCTCGCTTTGTGCGCACTAGTCAACATACACAGCCGTGTATGCCCACTATTGTCCAGAGGGCCTACATACCTAGAGACAGTAAAGCAAGCTCTAGTGACCTGCTTTCTACGTGAATCTACTGTCAAATACACCTAAGACACTTACTTGGAGCACGCCTCAGCTTCCTGAAACTGATCTAGGGTTTTCACTTACCTATGAAGATTTCACAAGAAATGTTTTCCTCTTTATATGTTTTCATCAAAAGCAATTCTCTACCCGACTTATGTTATTACTTTAGGGTGCCAACATATCAACTTTTTGTTTGTTTTGTCCACAAAGAGATGGTCTGAATAAACATTACTCTGAACTGAAGGAATATTTAACACAAAGCAGATAAGATATGACTGAATATTCTTCTCTTGGTCCCTGACACACTGCCATTTCAGCACCTTTCAAGCGACTGGAGCTGAAAGTTGCGATGTCAAATTCTTCTCTTGGTCCCTGACACACTGCCATTCCAGCACCTCTCAAGCGACTGGAGTTTAAAGTTGTGACGTCAATCCATGGACCCTGAATCCAGTCTTCACTAAATTCCGTACTTGCAAAAACTCATGGTTGCAGAAGATTATTTCAGAAGTAATTGCAGAGATATTTAAAAGATTCATTGCCTCTATGTTTCAGTTAGAGTACAACTGCAAATTTCTCTCCAAAATTTGCAACAATTTCACAATTTCAAAAGATATATTTTAGGGAACCAGCAGTTAGCGTAATGGCTATGTCGCTGGACTCCCATGTAGTCGACCATGGTTCCCGATCCGGACCCCGTGACTTAAAACTCACACCAGGCGCGTGTGCGTGCGTGCCCAAGATCCCGAGAGGAGAATGGAGGAGAAGGGATTGCGGTGTGACCATCCTCCCTGGGGGGTGATTTCTCGCTTTCTGTCTCTCTGTCTCTCTGTCTCTCTCTGTCTGTCTGGCAAGTGCACGAGCCCTATAGCGAAAACCTCTCAAAAAAAAAAAACAAAAAAAAACAAAAAACTCACGCCAGGCGCGTGTGCGTGCATGCCCAAGATCCCGAGAGGAGAATGGAGGAGAAGAGATTGTGGCGTGACCATTCCCCCAGGGGTGATTTCTCGCTTTCTGTCTCTATGTCTCTCTCTGTCTTTCTGGCGAGCACACGTGCCTTATAGCGGGGAAAAAAAACCTCTCTCAAAAAAAAAAAGATATATTTTAGTATCAAGATTACTTTGTCAGAAAGATGAATTTTCTAAGCATTAGCTCTACCTTTTTTCAGGTTTAAATCACAAGCTACTCGTCAACGATAATTGTCACCTTTCTTCCCAGTGCTCACTTACCCTCAATTAACCACAATTTTAATATTAATAATACCCTACACCTCACTCCAAGCAATTGTAGGCATTTCAGTTACATTAACTAATATCATTCCATCAGCCCTGCAAGGAAGGGAAGGGAAGATATTACTTTAATGGAGAAGATGCTCTGGCACTGTAATTTGTCCAAACAAGAAAACAGCTGAGGTGAACCAAGCAAGGATGTCTTTGTGTTGGGTGAGAAAACATTCAGACAGGTGTTCACCAGACATTCATTGGGATATTCCTTCAGGGTTGACTCAGCAGCCCTTGTTCCAGAGGCTTATCTCTATTGAAAATGGTCTCTATTCCACAAGGAATATTTATCATGTGACTCCTAAGTATAAATCTATCTCCTTGCTAGAAGCTGTAATTGTTGATCTGAATTAAATTGTACATGTTAATTTTCTGTCTCTTAATATGAAGTTAATTAAAATGAGTCAAACATGAGTGCCTAGAATTTTTAGTTTTGCTACTGTTCATTGGCTGTCTTAGAAGAGTCACGTGATGAAGATGCCTCTTTAAATCAAGCTACTGGTGGTACAGTAGTTCCTTCATTTCTTTGGTCTTCAATTGTGAGTGCTTCTTCTGAGCAAGTTTTCCATGATGGTTGAGCCCTTCTTAGGAACCTGGAAGCTAGTCTCCAGTGAAAACTTTGAGGATTACATGAAAGAACTGGGTGAGGAATACCATTACAAGATTTGGAAACTGGCAAGGCATTTTGTAATGTGGTTGGGTTTGTGCTTGATAATGAATCTTCCTATACATTTCTCTCTCTCTCTCTCTCTCTTTTTTTTTGTGATCCCAGGGTATATTTGTATTGGACTAAGGTATTTCATTCGTCCACTTTTGTTTTTTCTTGTTGCTTGTTATAAGTGTTTCTTTTTGGAAGTGAGACTCACAGATACCTCTCTTTACTCCTAATCAATATTTTTAGTCCATTTATCCTTTTTGAAAATACTTTCATGCTAACCACTAGACAGTATGTCTCTTTAGCTTGGTGGCTTAACTGATTAAGTTTTTCTAGCTTAAATTTATAGACAGTAATTACAATCTAAAATTTAATATAACAATTTGTTTCAAGGTTTGCTATAAAAGAGCTGTAGCAACAACTAAAAGTCCTATTGGTTAATTTCTAGAGTTTTCATATATGTGAGTGATATTTTAAAAACATTATTTTGAAGAGCTCTGGATGTTGATGGAAGAAATAAAATGTTTTTACTCATTGAATGTTTTCCTATTGAATATCTTTCAGAGGTATAAACCATATATATCCTTTGCCTTTAAATCAAGTTGAATTGTCAAACATCAATTATAATGACTTTGGTCTATAACAGTTAAGCTGTTGTTTACCAATTCTAAAAGAACCACTTAGTATTTTTCATATTTAGTTAAGAGAAACATCCCTTGCAATAATAAAATATATTATACAAATCCAAGGATTTTTTCTTACTATCTTTTAGACTTTCCTGGTAGGATCAATGAATGCTTACACATAGTAATATATTTTCTCATTCTAGGCAATGAGACAACAATCCTTTATTCCCTATAATAAAAAGACAATGTTCTTATAAATGCAATATTTGTTCCTCTTTTGTAGCCAGTGTTAATTTTCTCAGGGAGTAGTGATAAATAGATTCCCTGTTCTCGTCATGGATTTTATAGACTCATTTGTTTTGAACTAAAATTTGGAGCCTATAAAAAAACTTGGTACTTCTGGACAGAATAGAATTTATTTGGAGGGGGGAGATAGGTTTGGCATTGTACAAGGAGGGTAACAGCTAAACACCTACTATGTGCCAGTACCATGCTAAGTCATTTTCATTTAATCTTCCAGCACACCTGTGAAGTTAGTACCATACTTATTCACATTTTATTTCTAAGAAAGGTAAAGGTTACAGAAAGTAAATGACACGCTCAAGCTAGCAGGTTACAAAATTGGAGCTTAGGCTTTAAACACCTCACTTTTCTTTGTGATCGCTCCAGCAAGATACTGGGCTGTCAAAAAAAAAGGCATGATACATGTTTCTATGTTTTTCTTTGCAAAAATGCATCACAACGTTTTTGGCAACTGAATACAGCCTACCAGTCCTACAATCTAAAAGTGAAATAGAGCTCAATATCATGACAGAGAGAGGGGTCAGCTCTGCCAGTCTATTGCAGAGTTAAGTCTGACCATGGAAAATCCCCAACCTGGACAACAGGGCTAAGCTCTAAGCCAATACTTCCTGCACTGTTGCTGTAACATTCTACGAGTAAAATACAGCATTTGACCACCTGGATGGCACCCTATAAATATATATTTTAGATGAAGCATAACAGTCTTAGAAAGTGAATTTAGCTTTTTTAAAATGTCAAATAATCTATACTGTGTAACTGGAATGATCTGACTCAATCCAGATATCGCAAAGAACATAAAAGAAATTTGTATATTGCACAAAATCTAAATTGGGAAACTACATGTTCTTTGAAGATTGCTTTCTGAAACGATTGTTAACTCTTCTCCCTGAGTGTCTTAAAAAGGGTTGCTTTTTCTGTGTTTCAGGTGTGGATACTGCAGCCCGAAGTGTGGCAGGATTACAGAAACCGAGCATCACTATTAGTGCTGATGGGGACATGGTGAGGATCACGACAGAAAGTCCTCTCATAAACACTGAGATCTGCTTTAAGCTGGGAGAAGAATTTGATGAAACCACAGCAGACAACCGGAAAGTGGAGGTCAGAACTAAGTCCTTCTGGCGTTCAGCAATCAGGAAAAAACTAGAAGGTGGTTAGGCATGGTTTACTCTATTTAATTTGATTGATTCGATTTGATTTAGGTCTGATTAGAGTTTCTTCTTAATATTTGCACATCTCTAAAGTCAGTCATTTTGCCAATTATTCTGATGGTTATCAGAGCAAAAAAATCCCATTGTTTTTATTCTTTTGTTTTTTTTCTAGCTTGTTTTTGTCAGGGTTTAAAAGACTATCTGGAAGGGAACAATTAATCACAAAAAGCTTAGGTATTGTTTGCCTGGGAGGGAGCATTAATTGAATAATCTTTTAAGACTTCTTTTTTTTCGTATTTCTTTTTTTATTTATTTCTTTTGTTTAATTGTAATTCCTGATTTACATATAATCATTATACATCTTTGTGGGATACAGTATGGTTTTTAAAGGCCTGTATATGGTATGTAATAAACACATTCACCACCTTCAACATATAACATGCTATGTAATGTACATTTGAAATTCACTCTACTATTTCTTTTGGAAGTATATATTAAATTGTCAGTGATGTTCTTTACTGTGAATATAGTTCTTAAGAAAAACAAAGCAATTAAAATCAGACAACAAAAAGTCTCATAAATTAATGAGTATGGATTTTTGAAAACGAAGATAATCTTTAGCCAATGAGGGACAGGCAGTTGGCATAATGGCTATGTTGCTGGACTCCCATGTAGTTGACCGCGGTTTGAGTTCTGTACCTGGTGGCTTAAATTCACGCCAGGCGCATGTGTGGGCGTACCCAAAAAAAAAAACATAGCCAATGAAAAAGGAATTTGTAATTTCCAAGGGGCTCCTTCTAGTTCGATGGTCTTAAATTATTATAAGAGCCAAAGTGAGGATTTTGAAAAAGATAATTTCAAAATGTAAATTTGAAAGTAGTGGTCAAGTCTTGCGTCAGTTAGAATTTAGTAAATTGTTACTTCTAATGTATTTCATTATGCATTTATAGAGCATCGTGACATTAGAAGGTGGCTCAATGATTCACACTCAAAAATGGCTTGGTAAAGAGACAACAATCAAAAGAAAAATAGTAAATGGAAAAATGGTAGTGGTAAGTTTTTATCTAAACGGAATGCTTTGTTTGATACATGTATGTCAATCTACTCAATTGGTTTTGCACCCCAAATTAAGAGTGGTTTGGGGAGAAAGGGACAAATGTAACTTGTCATCTACCAACTCTAATAGATCCCATTTTGTTTCTAGGAATGTACCATGAATCATATTGTCAGCACTAGAATCTACGAAAAGGTGTGAAAAAAATGTCTACGTCGATGAACTTGTTCACTAACAGGAAACTGATACTTGAAGAAGATACACCTCAGGGCCAGTAATTTAAAAAAATAGTTACAGCATAAAATTGCTCAATAAAAGCATTAAATTAAATGCAGTTTTGGAGCTGTCTGATAATGAGGATTAGGGATAGCCTGATGAATTGGTGAGCTAAGAAGCTCCTGGTCTATGATATGATTCAAACAACATTGAAGTCCCTTCTGTCCTCTGCCCACCTGACTTCCACAGTTGCTGAGCTCCTGACAATGGGTCCATTCATTTAGGTTAAAACACTCTGTCAAAGTCATGTGGAAATTCATGGAACCTCAAAGTAAGATATATTCATTATATCACTGGGACCTACTTTGGAAAACATAGATGCCCCAAATTAACCTTGCTGATTTTTTATTTCTCCAGAAGATTGCCTCTCCTTAAAGCAGATAGATTAGATGATGACAGATAGATGAATAGATGATAGATGAGTGAGTACACAATGGAGTCTGGACATTATTCACTATGACTATTTACAGAGGAGCGTTTAAAACAGTCATTGTCTCACTTCTCCATAAATCTCTTTAGCACATCTGTCATCACTGTTCACAGCTTACCCTTTGCAGAATGATATTTCATTAAATGCCAGGCCTGAAGTTCTAAATACCTAGTAAAAATATAATCACAAGAGCTACTAGTCTCTTAAGAGCATTACCAAATACTGATGCTAAGCATGGGTGCTCTCAGTGCTTGGAACACAACAGAGTAATGGGGACAAAACTGAAGGGAAAAGTCTCAGGCTGGCCCGGTGGCACAACAGTGAAGTACTATTTCAAGAGAAGCCTGAGCCCACGTGGTGGTTCAGATCCCCAGTACAATCAACCTAAAACGTGATGGCCAACTATGCAAGTGCCCAAGACTTGCTGAGCTGGGGAATGAGGGGAAAGGAATCATGGAGCAACCTGACCCTGTGGAAGGTGCTTCTCTCTAACACTTTCGCTCTCTCTCATGTGCATGCGCTCTATTAGCAAAGAAAAAAGGAGTGGGGGGGG